CAATTTTTTTTCTCTTTCAGAATATCTGTTGTTCTTTCTGGGTCTTATTTATTCTTGTAGTTTCTTACACTAGGGAGACAATATGATGTTTACACGTGTGAGTCTAATTTATTTCACTTATGAGTATGGTCTCTTGTTACATCCATTTACCTATAAAAGCCTCTAGTTTTTCCTTCTTCATAGCTGAGTAGTACTCCATTGTATAAAAATACCACATCTTTTTTATCCGTTCCTCAGTTGATGGGCACTGGGATTATTTCCAAGATTTAGCTGTGACAAATTGTGCTGCTATAAACATGGATGCACATATACACTGTGGTATGATGTTTTTAACTCTTCTGGGAAAATACCCAGATGGCAAATAGCTAGGTCGAATGGGACCTCTAATATAGCTTTTTGAGGAATCTCCACACTGATTTCTGCAATGGTTGTACCAGTATACACTCCCACCAACAGTGGAGAAGTGTTCCTTTTTCCCCATGGCCCCTCCAGCATTTGTTACTTGATGATAGCCATGCTTTCCAGGGTGAGATAGAATCTCAGTGCTACTTTAATTCGCATTTCTTGAATGACCAAGGATGTTGAACATTTTTTCATATATTTATTTGCTGTTTCTATTTCTTCATCTGAGAAGTGTGTATTCATCTCAGATGCCCATTTTTGGATTGGGTCTTTGAATTTTGGGGGTCTGATTTTTTAAATTCTTTATATGTTCTTTGTCTGAGGGCCAATGGGCTAAAATTTTTTCCTACCCTGTGGGTTTTCTTTTCACTCTGTTGGTGATTTCTTTTGATGTGCAAAAACATTTTAATAAGATAAGATACCAATTGTTGATTCTTTCAAGTACTTCTGTGCAGTTTGGTTTTTGTTTGTGAACTCTCTGCCTACCCGTATGTCTTTCAGATTTCTACTTACTATTTCTTCCAGTAAATTACTGTTTTAGTTTTAATATTTAGATCTTTGATCCATTTGGACATTAGTGCATGGTGATAGACATGGGTCTAGTTTTAGTCTTTGGCATGTGGAAAGCCAGTTTTTCCAGCACCATTTATTAAAGAGGCTATCTTTTTTCCAGTGAACATGTTTGGCCCCTTTGTCAAAGATAAGGTGGCTGATTGTGTTTGTAGTTGTGTCTGCATTGTCTAATGTTCCATTGATCCTCAGGTCTGGTTTTTTTTTTTTTTAACCAGTACCCTGCTGATTTTATCACAGTAGCTTTGTATTATAATTTCAAGTCAGGGATTGTGATGCCTCCTGCCTTACCTTTGTTGCCCAGGGTTGCCTTTGCTATTCTAGGTCTCTTCTGTGTCCAAGTGAATTTTAGAAATGTTTTCTCTAGATCTGTGAGGTATGCTAATGGTATTTTGATTGGGGTTGCATTAAATCTGTAAAACAGTTTTGGCAGTATGGCCATTTTCACAACGTTGGTTCTTCCTATCCATGAGCAAGGGATAGCTTTCTATTTTCTGATGTCCTCTTTGATCTCCTTTTTCAGAGTACTGTAATTTTTAATGTACAGACTTTTTACTTCCTTTGTTAGATTGATTTCTAAGTATTTCGTTTTCTTGGATGCTATTATGAAAGGTGTTGTTTCCTTAATTTCTCTCTCAGTGAATTTGTTGTTTGTGTACAGGAATGCTATTGATTTTTGAGTATTGACTTTGTATGTGCTACTACCACTGTGCTAATGCATTTGCTTATTAATTCTAAAAGTCTTTTGGTGGAGTTTTTGGGGTCTTGTATGTAGAGTGTCATATCATCTGTGAATAATGATAGTTTAACTTCTGCCTTCCCTATCCTTATTCCTTTTATTTCTCTCTCTGGTGTAATTGCTTTGGCTAATGTTCCAAGAACTATATTGAATAGGAGTGTTGATAGTGGACATCCTTGCCCTGTTTCTGATTTTAGAGTGAAAGCTTTCAGTTTTTGTCTATTTAATATGATACTGTGCTTTGTCATAGATGGCTTTTAGCAGATTGAGGTAAAGACCATCTATTTTGATTTTCTGTAGAGTTTTTATCATAAATGAGTGTTGGAGTTTATCAAAAGCTTTTTCCAAATATATTGAGATGATCATGTGGTTTTTGTCTTTGGCTCTGTTGAGATGGTATATTACATTTATTGATTTGTGTATGCTGAACCATCCCTGTATTCCTGGGATATATCCAACTTGGCCATGGTATATAATCTTCTTGATGATTTGCTGCATTCTGTTTGCTAGTATTTTACTGAGGATTTTTGCATCTACTGAGGATTTTTACATAGGAGATTGGCCTGTAGTTCTCTTTTTTGGTTGGGTCTTTATCTGGTTTTAGTATCAGGGTAATATTTGCCTCCAGAAATGAGTTAGGGAGAATTGATTCCCTTTCAATTTCATTAAAGAGTTTGAGGAGTATTGGTTTTAAATCTTCTCTAAATTTCTTGTAGAAGTCAGTCATGAATCCATCAGGACCTGGGCTTTTCTTTGTTGGTAAGTTTTTAATTACATTTTAAATTTCATTAACATATTGGGGCTACTCAGAATTTTTATATCTTCTAGATTCAGCTTTGGTAATCCATAAGTTTCTAAGAATTTGTCCATTTCTTCTGTGTTTTGTAGCCTATGCTAGTAAAGATTTTTGAAGTAGGTATTGATGATCTTCTGAGTTTCCACTGGATCTGGAGAGAAACCATTCCTTTACATTTCTCATTGCTTGAATTTGAGTGTTTTCTTTCCTTTTTTTGATAAGGTTGGCTAGAAGTTTATCAATTTTATTTATTTTTTCAAAGAACCAACTCTTTGTATGACTAATTCTTTGTTGTTTTCTTAGTCTAAATTGCTTTAATTTCTGCTCTGATCTTTATAATTTTCTCCCTTATATGGGTTTTGGGCTTGCCTTGGTGTTCGTTCTCTTTTGCTTGAGGTGCAGCATTAGGTTATTTGTGCTTATTCTGTTTTCCTGATGTGAGAATTCACTGCTATAAATTTCCCTGTTAGAACTGCTTTTATTGCATCCCACAAGTTCTGGTAAGTTGTATTTGCATTTTTGTTTGATTGTAGACATTGTTTAATTTCTTCTTTAATTTCATCTGATACCCATTGGTTGTTCAGAAGGGTGTTATTTAATTTCCATGTATTTATGGAGATTTGCACATTGTTCTGTTACTAATTTCCAATTTCATTGCATTATGGTCAGATAGTATGCATGGGATAATTTCAGTTCCTTTGTATTTACTTAAGCATATTCTGTGGGCTAGTGTATAGTCTGTTTTAGAGAACGTCTCATGTACAACTGAGAAAAATGTGTATTCAGTGTTGTTGGGCAGAATACTCTGTAAAGGTCTACTGAGTCCATTTGTTCACATGTTTGCTTTAGTTCTGTTATTTCTTTGCTGATTTTTTGTCTAGTTGATCTATCTCCTTGTGACAATGGGGTGTTAAAATCCTGTTGCAATTGTGTTATTACTTATTTAATTTTTCATGTCTATTAATATTTGCCTTATATAATTGAGTGCTCCTACATTTGGTGCATATATATTTATGATTGTTATCTCTTCCTGTTGTAGTTTTCCCCTAATAAGTATGTAGTGCCCATCGTTATCTCTTTTGATCATTCCTAGTTAATTGAGAGTGAGATGTTGGTGTCTGTTTGGCTTAGTCCCCAGGTCTTTAGTGCAGGGCTGTGATGAGGTTATCACCCCCAAGCTTCCCAATATTGTTACAGAAGGGAGAATAACTGGAACAGATATGACATCCTAGCTAAAGTAGTATAATTAGCAATAACAATAGCATCAAGCACAGTTTAGAAACTGACAAACTGTGGGAGGGTGTAATTTTGTACCTTAAACCACAGGAGCAATATCTATAATTATATAACAGAGCCAATGGTAAATTGGGAACTTGTATTCAAAGTGTTTCCTCTTGGTAGAGTGGTTTTACCCTGTAGTGGAAAGATGTAAGAATGATAATGGATAAAATAAAGATAATTGAAAAGAAAGTAGAAGCAAGACTGGAGGACAAAGGATGATCACACAGACTTTGGGAGACTAGAGGAGAGGGCAAAAGAGAAAGAATGAGGGAGTAAGCAAGGGATTGACTAAACTTGGTTTCTGGGCTTGGGAGATAGGATTAGTTCTCTGTGGCTGGAGTTCTCCCCAGCCATTTAGGAAAGAGGGAAAAAAGAAAAGGAAAAGAAAAAGAGAAAAAAAGAAAGAAAAAGGAAACAAACAACAACAAAAAGAGAGAACAAGGCCAGCCCTGCCCACCTACTTCTATTCTGGGTGTCTTTGTCCCCAAGCACAATGCTGGTTCACCTAATTTACCATCTGTTGGCTCATATTGTTATTGTTGCTTTGGACTTTTCATGCCACTAGTCCTGCCTATCATCCTGTGTGCCCTAGTTGGGACACTCCTGTGTTGCTGGAGCTCCCTCTGGTCTTTGGGCCTTCCCATGAGGTTCACTTGAGTTGTGGCAGCAGCAGCAGAGGAGGGGTATTTTCTGCACTTTCTGGTGCAGTTCACCTGGGTTGTAGCAGTGGCAGTGAAGGCAATGGGAGGGCCACCCTCTGTGCCTTCACCTGCATCACGGTGAAGATGGCCTGGATATTGATCTTGTCTGTACTTGTGGAGCTCTCTGTCTTTTCCCCATTGCACTACTGTGTCTTGTTTTCTTGACTCTTAAGCTTAATGTCCAGCTTGGATCCTTACTACTTAACTCGTAGTGAGTGCTCAGTAAATGGTACTTTTGTACTGTCTCTTGAACTGTCTCCTAGCTAGACCAGTTGGAGTTCCAGAATTTCTAGAGATATAAATCTTACAGCCAGTAGGGTGTGGAGGGACCAGTGGGATGACCTGTGAGTTGAGCCTGATATATGGGATTGAGGCTGATGCTTTGGCCACAAGCTCATATTAGATTCCTCAAGTAGCACTTTGGCTGGAGACTGGATAAATGGGTGGGTCAGCTATGACCCCCTCTTGGAATCTGTCCTAGACCTTAAGAAATCTTATGTTCTTTATTCAGGTAATAGCTGCAGCTGGAAGTGATGAGAAGTGCAAGCTGGCGATGCAGAGGGGTGCGCAGTTCAGTGTGAACTACAGTCGGTGCAGCCTGAAGGAGGCAGTGCAGCAGCTCGTGGGCAGTGGTGGGGTGAACGTGGCCATCGACATGGTGGGAGGAGACATCTTCCTAGAGGCTCTCCGCAGGTGAGTGCAGCTGTCTGTCCATAGTGGGTTGCGGTTGGGGCTCTGCCCAACCTTTCTGCATCTCTGTCTTCCTCTGGGCCTTGCTTCTCTCTCATCTCTGCTGTTCACTTCTCCTGTCAGCATCAGCACCAACAAGAATAGCTGAGTGGGTGTGTGACAAGGAATAGAAGCAGAGAAAATCAGGAAATGCTTAAATATAGGAAAAACAAAATATCCAACTGGAAAATACCCAAAAAATGACTGCAGACTCTACTTGGCAGTGGCAAATGCTTTAGAAATTATACATGTGTTAAATTCAGCTATGCCGGCCTCCATTAACTTTTTTATATACGCGGATGTGGGGGATTTTTGAGATCATTGTTCAGGTGTTAGAGTTACTGGGGTGGCAGTTCCTCTTTCCCCAGCTCACTGCACCAACATACAGGCTCTTCTGATTTTACTTGTTTTTGAAGCAGCCAGTGGTATATTTCCTTGACTTGTTTTATTAAAAAATTCATCACTAGAGATTTAGTAGGATTGTTGTATCCTACCAGGTCTCCTTGTGTTTTCAACCAGGGATTCTGGAGTCCTCTGAGGGTATTGGTTTCATTTCTCATGTCATCTTGGCAGGCATCATTTTGTGGTTTATCTTAGTTTAAAGCAGAAGAAATAGAAGTAGAGAGAGCAGCCTCCCAGCAGAAGGAGTGCAGGAGGTTCTGTAGCCCCTGAGCTGGAAGGCGGGCAGGGGACGTGTTTGATCATCATTGAACAGTGCCGGGCACTATGCTTAGAGGAGCAAAAGAAGGAGTATACAGACCAAATGAACTTACCCTTCTCTTTTTGCCTTCTGGATCAATGGTGTTTTAACAATAGCGTCTCATTTCCCTTAGGAAGAAGAAAGGCAAAAAAAAATTCAAATAATTTTGTATTTGTATCAGAGATGTTTATAAAAGTTGTTTTTACAGCTCATGTAGTGTTCACTGTGTGGTACTTTTCATTATGGGCTATAGAAAACTTGTGAATTTTTGTATATTTTTCATAATTCCCTACAGTAGTACTGGAACTTAAAGGAGTCCTAAAATAAGTCTGTGGAAAGTAATGATCTTTCATCCCAAGATCTGTCTTCATATTTCTGCTGCCTAATTCAGAATCTTCAAACTCAGTTGTCTCGCTGTAAAAAAGCATGCACTTGTTTATAGCCTATATCCAGTGACACTTGTTTATGTCCAATTTCCTTCCGCAAGGTTTTTGATTCTAAAGTGGGTTCTCTCATAAAACTGGGTGGTTCCTCTGTCATCTTAATATTTTGCTCATGACTTATTTAAAAAATTTTCTCCTGAGGAACCCAATGTAGTAAAGGATGGTGTACTTCTCCCAGTCTTAAGGTCAATATGAGTTCCCAGCTGTGGGGTTAGTCCATGTTGATTTTTAAAAATAATTGTGGGAAATATATATACCCTATAATATAGTCATTATTATGGGTGTGCCATTGAGTGCCATGCTCACAATGTTGTGTAGCCATCTCCCAGAAAAAAACTCTTTACTTATTAAACACTCACTGCTTCTTTCCCCTTCTCCCAGCTCCTTGTAATCTCTCTTCTACTTTCTGCCTCTATGAATTAATGTAAAGCTTTTAAAATTTTTTTCCTTTTTATTGTGGTTAAAAGCATATAAAATAAAATTTACCACTCTAACCTCTTTCATGTGTGTAGTTGAGTACATTAAGTACAGTGACATTGTTGTGGAATAAATCTTTAGAACTTTTCATCTGGCAAATCTGAAACGGACATGCATTCAAAAACAGCTCCTTCCCCCTCCAGCTCCCACAGCCCCTGGGAGGCACCGTTCTACTTTCTGTTTCTGTGAATTGACTACTTTAAATACTGCATATAAATAAAATCAGAGAGTTTTTTTCTTTTGGTGTCTGGCTTCTTTTACTTAGCATGATGTCCTAAAGGATAACCATGTTCTAGCATGTGACATGATTTCCTTTCTTGTTAAGGCTGGATAGTGTTCCACTCTGTGTATCTGTTCATGTGTTGAGGTTCACTTGGCTCGTTTCTCCCTTTGGCTATTTTCATTAATGCTGCTACGAATCTAGTAGGTATGCAAATAATTAAAATTTGGAGGAACCTTCATACTGTTTTCCATAGCAGTGTGTATGAGGTGTAGGAGCGCTTCAGTTTCTTACATCCTCACCTAAATTTTCTGCATTTTTTGATAGTAGCCATCCTAATGAGTTTGATGATCCACCACGTCTTATAATTTTCTTTGCTTTTCTTCTTTCCCTTCAGCCTGGCATGGGAGGGCAGGATTGTGGTGCTAGGATTTGCTGGAGGAAACATTGCTTCTGTGCCTGCCAACTTGCTCCTCCTGAAGAACATCTCTGCCATGGGCCTGTACTGGGGTCGATACCAACTCGAGGACTTTCCAGTCTTTTCCAAGAGCCTACACTCAGCACTTCAGTACTACCACCAGGGGCGCATACAGCCATACGTCGGAAAGGTGTTTAAACTGGAGGAGGTGAGATTAGCTTAAGAAATGTGGTACAGTTAAAAACAGAAAATAAAATCTGCCACACTACTGGTTCATTTATTCCTGGATATACAATAATTTCTCTTTCATAGACTGAAAATGCAACACTACCCAGGGGGGCTTGAAGGTTCAGGATTCTTCTGGGCTGTCTGGTTATTGACTCAGGCCTGGTGGGAAACTCAGTTTTGAGGTGTCTGGCTATATCACTAGTATCTCAAGTAGAGGAAAATTATGGTACTTTAGAAAATAATTTACATGTGTTGATATGAACCTTGGACTCTACAACATTCAAGCCTAAGAAGGAAATGCTTGACTTGAACTTTGATTTTTAAATATAGACACTTTGAAGTACAACCAGATGATCTGAGTTGGGGTTCTGCGAGCAGAATGCTAAATTATGCGCGGCACCATGAGACGATAATTCATCCATTAGTCACTGTAGTTAATTTTGTTGGCGATTCAGTCCCTTTTTCCATTCTTTCACAGTCTCATTAATGTGGCTTAAACTTCCCCCAAAGTGTAATTGTGTGCACGCATATGCAATATAGCTGTAGCTGTGGGTCTGTAGGCATTCACTGTGAATTCTTTATTATTATTTTTGGCTTAATTTCTTTTAATGTTCAAAAAACCGTTTTAGTAGCTGTAGTCAGCCATAGATGGAGGCAGTGTTTTCTTCAAATGCAGATTAGTGGAGCTCAAGCTGCCTGTGCCAGACTGTAGGGCTTACCAACCTTCCACTTCAGTGCTTTTATTTCCTGTGCTGAGGCAGTCTTTTGAAACACAGTGTATCTCCTCCTTTATCTTTTCTGTCTGTGGAAGTCAGGAAGAGAGTGTGCACCGCTGAAAGGGACGCGACTGGCCATTAGCAGACTGGTTACTTTCTAGTTCTAGCTTTGCCCCTGTGGCCCTGTAGTTTTGTGGATGTCCCCTCACTGTTCTGACCTTCACTTTCTGCAGCTCTAGACTGAAGGGGTAGGACATTTTTTGGTGGGCTTTGGAGTATGCTTTAGGAGCCACAGTGAGAATGTGGGGGGGCAGATATAAAGTAGTGTTTCTTGGGCTGGCCTGAGGAACTTATCTCTGCTCAGCCCTGTTTCCTCATTTTTCTTTTAAGAAAAGATTTATGGATTAGATAATATACCTGCAAGCCACCTCTTAATTTCTAAGACCCATCCTGTCCTGTGGCTTTTATCATCATGTGACTTCTGAGGTGAGGTTTGCTTTACCTGAGGCTCTAGCTGTTGGTAGAGGAAAAGGACAATTAGGCAATACAGGAGAAGTGACGTGGTATTTTGACCTATCTTTTCTCTGCATTGATGTGTTTTTGGTGCTGCTCGGGCGTTATCATAGTTACTTTCCCACTGCTGGGATACAATACCTGACACCAACAGCTTGAAGGAGGAAAGCTTTATTTTGCTTCACAGTTTGTAGAGGTTCAGTCTGTGGTTAGCTGGCTCTAAGGCAGAAGGGCATGGCAGAGGAGAATTGCTCATAGCATGATGGTAGGCAGGAAACAGGGAGAGAGAGAGAGAGAGAGAGAGAGAGAGAGAGAGAGAGAGAGAGAGAGAGAGAGAGAGAGAAACAGAGAGAGAAACAGAGAGAGGAACAGGGAGAGGGAGAGGGAGGAGGAGAAGGATGGGGAAGGGGAGGGAGAAAGTTCTCCCAGTGACCTTCCTCCTCAGACCAGGCTCCTCCCAACATCACATGTAGCTATAAACTCCTCAGTGGACTAAGTTACCCATGAGTATCATGTCCCCATGATCAGTCACCTCCCAAAGCCCCATCTATGTGTACATGAGGCTTTGGGGGGACATCTACGTAGAAACCACAACAAGTGTGAGAAAAAGCCAGAGTGGGATTATTGTTTGAGTGTCCATATAGAAGTTCTCGCTCCTATAAAACAGGAATTAACTGCAGAATTATTAACCTCCTGTCAGCTCCCATTCACATATGAGATTTTTATTGTTCTCCCCAGTGTGCTGACTTCGGTGTTATCGGGTGGCTTTGGAAGCCCAACTTTTTCTCTGTTTCCAGCGTCTCTTTTGCACACCATCCCTTTACTATCTTCTCTTTCTGTTTTTTTCACTATGCAAACTATTTACAGGAATAACAATACAATAAGCACTTTACATACATTATTTCATTTTTGCCTTCAGAAAACTCTGAGTTATAAACCATTTTTTTTTAGATTTTACAGTTGAAGGAATCAGACTTACACAAGCTGTCTAATGCTGCGTAGTAAGTGTCAGAGCTGGCGTCCAGGCCTCGTTGATCTGATGCCAGAATCCAGTTTCTCCTGGCCGTGTCAAACTCTTTCCTCAAACAAAACAAGAAATTGCTTATTACAAACCTCACTGTATAGCATGTGGTTTATCCATCTGTCACAGAATCGTCTATGTGAAGGAGCTATCTTGTAATTAAGATGACCACTTCTGTTTTTGTGCAAAGTACCAAAATTCATATATTTTGTTCTTTTAAAATGAATGTGGCCGAATGAATATATAATTAATTTCATTGAACTGTAAAGCCTATGTCATATTTTTTCAGTAAATTAGTTAATGTACTAGAAAATTATTTGTCAGACCAGTTCATGCGTGGAAAATAACCAGTGAACTCATAAAATATATATAGCATCAGAAATACTGGTTCTGGCAGGCATATATATATATAGATATATCTCTACTGAATGATTAAAATTAGAGGGCTCTGAGGTCACACCACCAGAGTTTACATGCTGGCTGTGGGGAAATTATACATCTTTATGCTTTGATCTTCATCTGTAATGGGGCAGTAATTTATCCTACCTTGTAGGGTGGGTATAAATATTAAATAAGATAATACATGTAAAAGGGCATGGTTAATTTACTAATTATTAATCCATAACATGCCATTATTATAAGATACAGAACTGAGCCTTTTCTGTGCCCCTGAACTATCACACTTCTACAGTGACGTCTTAGAGGGCAGGATTAGAATGATAGTCTACAGATTTTGAATTTTAAGTAGAATTGATTATTTTCTGAAGGGCTATATCCATGCTGTGATGAGTGGATCCTGAATTGGCCCCATGATATCAGTTCAGAGGATGACATTTTTAGATGTGCAGAATTTGTTTTTGAAGCTGCCCACACACATCTTGGTCTGACACAGTACTTAATCTCACCCATCTGAACTTGTTTATTATGTACAAATCAGGCAAGATCACCATACAAACAGATTTAGTAGCTAGAAATTGCTTGCTTGAAGTTTCTTCTGTGTATCTGTGGCATAGCCTTAAAAATGAAGTTACTCTTTTGGCTCAGGTGGTGTCTGAGTTATAACCCCCTTTTCCAGACCAACTTTGTAGAATTTCTGGCCTTTCCTGACCGGGACCTGGCCGCTGGGCTGCTTGTCACACTTCTCTGGGGACAGCATCTGAAGCCCAGGGCTCTGTTGCTATGATTTATCTCCTTTGCACTGACTGGCTCCTGCTTTCCTGGGGTGGGGGCTGATCTTGGGGGCACGACCTCTGCTGGGATGGTCAGGCAAGAGCTGCTGCAGCTCTACTGCAGAGGCTTGATCCAAATGAACTTGTCGAAGCCTCTGGCTTCCCCAGAAGCTGTGGGTAGGGGCTGGGTAAGTCAGTCCAGAAATGTGGGGTGCTCACCCTGTTAGCAAACTTTGATGAATGAATGATGGGAGGTAAAATTGCCCACTTTTTTCTTTCCAGTTGACTGTTTCATATGACCTATTGGTAGAGACCCCTGGTGAACAGTAGCTAGCTGCATGTCCCTCAGAAGCTACGACCAATGCAGGGCCAATCACATACCATGTATAGTTTCTTTCTTTCCTTAACTCAGTTCTCCTTTTCCCTCCTGCTTGGTTTCCTGGGACTGCAACCCTCAATGAAGCATTAGGGCATAGGTTTTGGTTGGGCTTTATTTTCTGTGGAACCTAAGCTGACACTTAATTTCAAAGATTTATTTTTGTGTTGAGAACACATTGCTTGACTTCCTTTGAAGTCAGATTTATTATGATATAATTTCCGTATAGTAAAACTCCCTCTTTAGATGTACAATTCTATGTTTTTCCTTTCCCTTGACTGTCTATCTGCCTGCCTATCTGCCTTCTTCCTTCCCTCCCTCCTTCCCTCCCTCCCTTCCAACCATAGTGGTCTTGAGGTGTCCTCTACCACTGAGCTGTGTTCCTAGCCTTGTTTTTCATATTTTGAAACTATGTTGCTCATCTGGCCTTAAACTCACGGGCTCAAACTGTCCTTCTGTCACACCCTGCTGAGTAGCTGGGACTACAGGCAAATGCCAATGTCCTCAACCAATTCTCTTGAGTTTTGACAAAGGAGTACAGTCATGTGGCCACCTATCACAATCAAGATATAGGGATATTTCCATCACCCCAGAAGATTCGCTAATGCCCATTTGTAATCAGTCTTTTTTTCTTACTCCAAACACTTGGTAACCACTAATCTGCTTTTTCTTCCTGTAATTGTGCCCTTTTACAGAATGTCACATAAATGGCACCCTATAGCCTGTATCCTTTTGAGTCTGACATCTTTTACTTTGCATAATGCTTACAAGGTTCATTCAGGTTGTTGAATGTGTCAATATTCTGTTCCTTTCTATTGGTGAGTAGTACTTCATTATGTGAGCCTACCAAAACCGCATGGTGGACTCTTCTCAACAATGCTGATGCTAGGTTATGCATCTGTCAGAATTTAGTTTCTCTTTAAATGTAGCCGTTCCATTAGGTGTGCGGTGATTTCTGATTGGGAGTTTAATTTGTATTCCCCTGATGAACAATCATCTTGAGTATCTTTATATGCTCATTTGCCATCTTTACCTCCTTTTTCGTGAAATGAATTGATTGACTTTTAAAAGAAGATTTAGATAACCTTGTATCAAAATAATGATCTATGAATATAATTCAGCTACAGCAGGGTATCATTAATAGAGGATTTTATCTTTTGTAAATACAGTAATCCCATTCAGTCT